CTGATCTTTTTTTGAGACAAAGGTCATCCTTCGTGAATTGGCAGCTGTATTAAACAATGCAACAGTAGCGCGAATTCAGCAGAACTTCATACATCACATACAATTGGCTCCGTTACAGAGTGCTCGAATTTCTCTTGTTTCTACCTCACAGGACAAAGGGGAAGAGCAGTCTAAGAAGAGCCTGCTCAAGGACAACTAGCCCCGCATATCATTTGTCTCACATAACTTAGGCTCTAGACTCTACTGATTTTATCCCACATTCTAGTTACACGTGTTCGAACCTGCCGTTCGTCCCTTTGGGATATTTCATTTTTTAATTCCGCCTATCTACATCATTTTGTCACGCTTGTAAAATAGCCTCGTGACATGTACTGTTCCCGGCTTGCAACCACGTATCTGGTGCATTTGCTCCCCTCTTACTCCGTCTTACCCAATCCTCACACACTCATATACATACATACATACATACATACATACATACATACATACATACATACATACATACATACATACATACTATATATATACATACATACAAACAAACAAACAAACAAACAAACATACATACATACATACATACATACATACATACATTATGCATACATACATACATACATACATACATACATACATACATACATACATACATACATACATACAAACGCATACATACATGAATACGAACGTTCATACAGCGAGACACAAGCTCAGCTTGTGATCTCTGTTGACTGGACTGTAGATCAGGCCGCAGGTGGCCCGGGTTGAAGGCGGTCCGATGGAAGTGCCGCTCCTTTCAAGTCGGTCTCTGGACATTTTTCATCGGTAGACAACAATTACACGGAAAAACACATGCGTGTGCAGCCTGGTGCATACGATCAGACTGGCCCAGCGAGGATTATGCTTTGACACGCGCCGTTCTTGTCCTAATTGTACACGAAGAAGAGATAATGCAAGACTGTAGCTTTCAGCATCCCTCCACACTTCACCGGCCAGATAAGCGTGGTCTGCACCACTCCACGAGTGTTCGTCATCGCGGCGTAAAAGACTTCAGCCGGCGTGCCTGTCAGCGAGGCTGCGATCGGCCGACTCGGACTGGTCCCTTTGAACCAGACGAAGCCGGCCCCGATTGTCACCAAATGGGCCCTGAGTAGCGTGAGGAGGGCGGCTAAGAACCGGGCGGAACTGGTCGAGGCGAAGGCCCAAATTTGCCTTGAAGACGACCCCGACGACTCGGTCAGCTTGGCCTGAAGAAGAGTCTTTTTGCCGGTTATCGACTACTCCCCCGGAGCCGTCACCCCGTCGTCCGACGGGACGACAAAAGAGCTACATACAACTTGTCTTCACGAGACAAAAGCACTGTCATCCAGGCTTCTAACCAGATGGCCAAGACTTAAAACAGTCTATTTCTTTTCTGCTTATCCTCCAATAGTCGTACCTGTTCGTGGAAGAACCTGTCAGTACGGCCGCCTGCATACGCGAGTGCACATTCACGTGTGTGCTCATGCAGGCCTGTATGCTTGCGTGAGTGTGAAAGAATGCCCCACCCTCTCACTTCTGTCTCCCCAAACAGTCTCCTCTCTTTTCAGAGACATCTTTGCCTCTTCCCTGTTTTTATCTTCCACATGATCTCGCATCTTCTACATCATTTGTCTTCTTATGCAGATTATCCCGTGAATTATTTGTATGCAATTATGCCTTTGACCGACTCCCGAATCGAGTAGGTGTGGCGGGATTCATTAGATCCACCTCCACACGGCTCCCCCACAAAAAACATGCCCATGTTCACATTTGCATCACTGATGTAGTCAATGATTGTGTGAATGCTCTCATTTGTTTGTGTGCCTCGTGTCGGCACGGACGAAGGGGGCCAAATGCTGTCATGCTTACCTGCAAGCATGGAGAAGCGAAAGTGTATGCGATTTCGTTAAGCCATGCATCATGTGCATAATGAATAAAGATGAGCACACCTGAAAGCTATCTTAGCGAATATATGGTAACGGGACAATAAATCCTCTTTTATTCGTTACCAATATGCGCCAGTTTCGAATGCTGCCACTGCAATGGTGGCAACTCTGCCCAGAATTAGTTAAAGGGTGGGCCATAGATTTACGTCGAATTGCTTTCTATCTGGTCCAGAAATTTAGGTTTCTGCTTGGTGTCATCAGCTTCTCTAGAAGAATTCGAATGGTAAAGGTTTATCTGATCAAATAATAAGCATGATTTGCATCAACTCAGAATTTTTCTATGAAATTATGTACCTACCTACTCACCAGTAAATAGGATATAGCGCAAACTATTCGTTATTAATATGCTGTTTCGCAGCTACCAGGAGCCTGATTGTTGGCTGTGTACAAATACGTCAAATGGTGTTGACATCAAGTATTCTCTTTACTTTGTTATATTTTATTGCATGCTGACAACAATAATATTCCTGACGGTTGCGAAAAATGGATGCCAGTGATAATCCATTTTATAAAGGCAGCGCCCCAACTTCAGCTGAATCACTTAAATTTTCTAACGAATTTCATCGTAACTCGCACCCCAAAAATGGGCAATGGAGACGACATAATCGAAATCTCTCAGGCCCTACATAAACAACCCAAGAGAGCGACGAAAGTGGGGATCTTCTTGTACTATATCTCCGTTTAGAAAGCAAATTTCTAGGACTTATTCGTTCATTTATTTGTAGCTTATCGATATCACCAGTAAATCACATATATGAGATTTGTTCACTCTAATTCATGTACGGCGTTGTTTGACTGTTAGTTAAATTTTCCAACAATGATATGAGCCGACCTTACGTTGCCATTCAATTTCACATATCCTTGCTTCCCAAAAGGTATTCTCATCCAGAATGAAGTTCACTTCAGTTGCAACCTCATTTAGGTCTCATCAGACCTTGTTAGTGCAGCCTATAATCTCGACAAGTTAATCACTACTCCACACTGTTACGAGTAGCTTTGCGCCACAGGGCAGATGTCGCTGTGTGGTATAGTTGTTAATTTGTCTAAATTATACGCTGCACTAACAGGATTCAAGTTTTGCTGGGGGTTCTAATGAGACCTAAGCGAAGTCGAAACTGCGGTCCACTTCAGCCTGGATGAGAATATCTATTGGGAAAGCAAGTCTATGTGAAATTCAATGGAAAAGTACGGTTTACTCATATCATTATGGAAAAATTCGACTATATAAGATGTATTCACCCAAATTGGTCTAAGGTGATGAAGGACTGGTAGATGAAATTTCCCACAATGATATGAGTAGAATTTAAGTTTCCATTGGATTTCACATAGTTTTGCTTTCCAAAAGGTATTCTCACGAAATAGGGTGAACATATATCATATATCTTATTTCTTCAATCCGCAAAATCAAGCAGTGTGGAAAAGTTCAACTGCCAATCCTACGTCACCTTATGCCATCTAGGGTGGATACAGCTATCATTCAAGATATAGTAGTAGTTTAGAAACCTATTGAATACGAATATGAGAATCTACATTTTATGTGTTGGTATGGGTGAATATAGCAGGAGAGAATGACAGAATGGCAAGGCTCACTGATGATGCCGACGAAACTTCTGAAAATGTACTAAGTCCACGGTCAGACGCTGGAAATTATCACATCTTTCATGTCAGAGGAGTCCTGATAAAGTACACTAATCTAGATCAAAGCACTGATATACAACAATAGAAGACTGCGACCATATTAAAGGCCACTCCATTTTGTTGTTCATACCTTCGATTGAACTCTAAGTCCTTAGCTCACCTCATGTGGCCTAGAGTGCCAAAGTTCTTATTCACCTTTGATCCCCCATAAAATTTGCCTCATTCAATGGAAACGAGTCCATTTAAAAGGAACCATAATCGAATATGACTTGGTACAACACATACATTTAGGCCCTGTAGAAGAGAGATTTGGGAAAGAAAGTTTTCTACCAAGTTAGCCCTACTGAAATTCGAAGGAGTGCCTTGGGGATGTGACTGTGATGAGAAAATCCATGCGATGAGAAGAGTTCCAACACAACCCTTGTCTTTGATAACTGTGGCCAAATAACTGCAAGAATAAATATGCAATATATGCGAAGAAAAGTTTGGTTTAGAGGAAGCTCTTGTTTCATAATTGTTGAGCTCACTTCCATTTCGAGTGAAAAGGTGTTCAGCTTTCGTCTGTCATATCACCGGAATCGAAGGTGATTGCCTCGGAAACAGTGTCAGCATGAATCTTCCAGTAAAGCCAATCGACAGCTGGTCAAGAGAAATCCGCCGTCGTCTTCTGGTGGAACCGATCTTCGAATCTCTTCAGCTAACACTTTCACTCGAAATGGAAGTAAACTCAACAATAAATATGCAAACCATAGCTGATTCGACTAGTTTTTTGACAATATGATCCTTCTGCATGATTCACTGGAAATCGGGGCAAAGGGTGTGCTTACTTGTAGAACTTGGATCTCCTCGAGCATATACCAGTTTAACTGTTTGGTTAATTCACAAAAGTACGGTTGTAATACGAGCTAGAGATATGATAAAGCGAAATTGAGTGGATACTTGTCCCATTTCTGGGCGTTTGAATGGAGTCTTAGTAACATCCGTCCTATCAACCCGCATTATTAATCTTCACTCTACAACGGTAACCCTCCCATATTTCATACAGCTAAAAGAAAACCAGCCCGCGGAACTCTCGACAGGAATAGACTCGTATTCTGTGTTTTTTCACCCTACACAGACTTTCGGCCCTACATTTTTTGCCTTCAACCCATCTCATGCACACAAGTACACACATGTAAACACACTCTAAAGCCCACACAGACATGTGTACATATAGATAAAACCATACCTGCATCCGTGAATATGCATATACAGAGTTACTCATTGA